AGCGCCCTCCGCACAGACGCCCTCCTGTTCGTGTCATCCTCTTGAGCAAAGGCGCCCTCCTCACCATTGCCACCCCCATTTTAATCGTCACCCTTCCGCTCATTGGCGACTTCCAGTTGATGACCGCCCTCCCACCTATTGGCGACCTCTTGTTGATCGCCACCCTCCTATTGGTGCTCTCCTGTTCCTCGCCACCCTCTTACCTGGTGGCGCCCTCCTGTTGATTGTTGATCGGCGCCCTCCTACCTATTGGTGCCCTCCTGTTGATCGCTGCCCTTCTATCCATTGGCGCCCTCCTGCTGCTCGCCAACTTCCTACCTATCGGTGCCCTACTGTCGAAACTCGGGATGTTGATCGGGGCTCTTCTACCTATTAGTGCCCTCCTGTGGATCGCAGCCCTTCTACCTATTGGCAACATCCGTTGATCGCTGCCCTCCTATCATTTATTTACTCCTTTGGCATGTTTTTCAACTTAGTCGTTCTATTGCACATAGTTGATGTCTTGCCTGTGAAAACTGCCACAAATGAACGTGCATTCAGCACAATGAATGAAGTATCTATACCTACCAAAACTATCTACGCTCTACGATGCATAAAACACGTCTTTGGTCTTAACGGATTGATCCTACTTTACGTGCATCATGGCATCTATATGGATTACGATTAAGTATTGTCAACAGGTTCGGGCGCAACAGCAGGCATCTGAAGTTTCGGTGATTGAAACTGGTTATGTGGGTACACTGTATGCATCTGTGAGAAGGCTATGAAGGCTGGTCTGAGGTAATTTGGATGATGTTTACGCATCTCGCGCTCCGGTATCAATCCGATACGGTGATCTGGTGCGTAGATATGCCACCGCCAATAAACTTTTATACATCGACACCCATGAGCCAAGCTTTCTGTACAGTTTGTGTGGCAGCGGCCCGACCAAACCTTAGGTATTTTTTACACCTTCAAATTTGGTAAAAGAGCGAGAGGAGCTTTGAACAGTGATCGTATAAAAGGCGTGCCTAAAAAGCGGAGGAAAAGGTTGTTTTCAAAAATTTCGCGCGCCTTCGGCGCAGCATTTCAAGAACACTTGACCTTTTGTGACCTGGAGTATAAAGAATACACACGATGCAAAATCAATGCAGCACGACCTATACGAGGTTACGCAAAAAAAAAAAAACTGGTGGCATGGTAAAAAACGCCTCCCAACCCCCCAACCCCCACTGAGCGATTTTTTATCTCGCGACCGTATGGCGCCCTCCTTGGGTGAGGTGGCGCCCTCCAAACCCTTGGCCCCCCCCTTCGCGATTTTCTAAATACGCCGCTGCCTTCGTACTATTTAATTAGCTAGCTGTCAGCCTGTCACGCATCATGATCATTTTCAAGCAGCTCCAGAAGCCGTGCCATCTGGTGCGGTGTATCCATCAGTGCCGTTGATACCACTGTGGGGCCTCATTACAACATTACCGGCGGTTCAGCCGGTCGGGCCATGTTAAATTGAGCGCGGAATCGGCTCCGGGCTGCGGTCAGACTGGAATTTGTCAGGCCCGTGGGCGGCGGTCGGGAATATTAATTGCCCTAATGGCTAATTGCCTCCTTAGCATGCCACTCTGGCGGGGCTCGCCCGCCCGCCCAGATTGTACCAGAGTGACTGTTGGCTCACACGCGGATCTGCCTACACATATTTCTCCATCCCGCTGTGCTTGCAAAGACATGACTGGTGGATACGGGTCTATGTATTCCTGACCTTTACCCCAAGTCATACTCTTTGGATGAGGGTAACGCCATATATTTGCCGGCTCGAGCTCCCTCCCGCAATGCCCTGTCCTGGACTGACCCTAGCTCGCTTCTGTTCCCGACTGACAGCTCAAGGGTTGGTCACCGCTGGTTGCCACGGAAAGAGGCGATACGATCAGGGCGCGACGGTTCGCCGATCAGCCTGCACGCCAGTCCTATACCGGCCAGGACTGACGGAGGGCGCGCCGCTTTCCCTGCAGTAGCGCCGCAATGCTCCGGGTCACGCAGCTGAATGGGCTCAGGGTGGGCAGCGTATCACCGCGTATGGGGCACCTCGCGCGCCATCCGATCAAACGATCGACCAGAGTGTTATATGCTGGACGCAGCTCACAGGAAGCTGAGTACTGAGTGACGTGCCAATGGTTTGTCGAACGCTGAACTTCGGAGCAGTCAAATAAGCACAACTGAGTAGGATCGTCAGACGAGCTTCGCCTCCGCAGAGCCTCATGTCAAGTCGTCAGTAATGAGGAGATGCCAAAATTAGAAAGCTGTCAGGAGTTATAACATATCGCTGCTGTTGTTCAGCTAAACATAACCGACAAAAGGCAATGCACCACTTAAAGGGACCCTCCCACCTTAACATTAGTTTTGAGTTGAGATAGCCAAGTTTGCGACCAGGCTCAGAAACCACCATTTATCCTGGTCGCAACCCCCGCAGCTTTATGGTGTTCAAGAAATTTCTTCCCTTTACTTGCAGGGTGGGACCAGCGTGGTCCCTATCTCTTAACCATTACGGGAATCTGATGACGTCATCAGGCTTTCGAACGTCCGTTAAATGTTTGACTAAAACGTTTTGTAGCACGCGGTGGTATATGCTGCTTTGCGCGCAACAAATGCCGCACTTTCAAATAAAGTCGCTAGGAACAGCGGAGATCCCAAAAAGTAAACAAAAGTAAAAGTCTAATATCTTGAAAACCGGTGAATATTTTTCGATGAAATTTGGTAGATATTCGTTTTTGCTCTTTCTGAACCGAGTGACATCACTTTCATGCCAATTCATTAACTTTTTTGAAGGTGGGAGGGTCCCTTTAACCTACCGCAATGTGCAGTGAATTCGGGCGAAAGTGATTGTTCTGCTCCGCAAAAGTCCCTGCCACATTCTCACATGCATGAGAGACGAACACGCGACAGAGGGGAACAAGTAAGTAAAAATCATTTGTTCCCGTGATGTTTCGTGAGTTATGTGACATCGAAAGGCGGCAGGTAAGTAGGTATTAAAAATTCCTTTCCAGAAAACTTTTATTTTATTTTTGAGGTTTATGAAGTTACTGATGTACCTAGGCTTATAAGAACAGTGTGCAGCAATGAACCATGCTGCAGCCAAAAATCACGCAGTAACAGGATCAATGATCATATACATAGACGACAGCGTAGTCACTCGCCGGACCGCGCAGCTGTATCGGTCCCTCTCGCTCCTGGCCTATGACGTCACTGACCGGCAGGTGTGTATGCGCGTGCGGTCAGCAGTGCCGGCAATATTACCGGGAGCGAGGCACCTACGGATACGACTGGCGCCAGATAGTGGGTATGGCGCAGCACGCGGCACCCTGTTATCGGGCGCCTATCGCACACGCACACAGTCACACGCGTGGCATCGCCTCTCTCTCTCTCTCTCTCTCTCTCTCTCTCTCTCTCTCTCTCTCTCTCTCTCTCTCTCTCTCTCTCTCTCTCCCGCTCGTTTCTTCTCTCCCTCCCTCTCCCTCTCTTTCTTCCTCTCTCTCTCTCTCTCTCTCTCTCTCTCTCTCTCTCTCTCTCTCTCTCTCTCTCTCTCTCTCTCTCTCTCACTCTCTCTTCCTCTATTTCTCTTCCTCCTCTTTCCCTCTTTCCCTCCCCTCTCTCTCTCTCTCCCCTGTCCCTCCCTCCCGTGCGTGCACAACGTGCCCGGTAGCCACAGGAGGTGCCTGGGTGGGGAGAGGGGGCGGAACACACCATGCACCGGACAGCCGGCGCGGTGTATGAATTCACCTTCCGTGACCATGTGGCCACCAATACCGACCGCTGCGGTCTGCGCTGGATGTGAGACCCGACCCGAGCGGTGCCTATATTGTTTACGGTTGATTGGAGACACAGAGGCGAATGGAAAGCGAATCACTGACCACAACTGGGAAACGGGCGTGTAGCCGTGCGGATGATCGAGTTTTGATTGACGAAAGCGGACAAAAATTGGAAAAATAGCACAAGCACAACAGCAATAAAATAGGTCAACTATGAGCATTATCACCTGCTGAGAATTTCGTCTCTATCAGTAACAGAATTCGCTCAGTACCTATCTGATCCGTTTGAGTAACTGTGGAGGTAAAAATGAGACTATTATAATCAGAGCCAAATGCGGAGCAGATTCCCTCTATCGATGGTGTCATACGACTGGGTGCGCCCTGCCGTTATTGGTGAGGGATAGCTGAGTCCTCATTTCCCTGAGGCTGCGGAAATGGTCCCGGCTGCGTGCTAGCAGACAGTGGCTCTTCCTGGCCGTGACAGGTCCCGGCTAATGCGGCTTTTTTATGCCGCAGACGGCATCGCGTTCCATGCAGCTAAATGTTATATCCAAAGGATGGAAAGGGATGGGCGTGCCCCTCTCATAGTGTTTGACCTGGGGAATTTAAAAAGTTGCTCGAAATGAGAGCGCATATTTTCGTATATCATGTAAAAAAAAACATAAAAAATGGAAAGCCTTCTTATTAAATCAAGTTTCTAGTTGGTCGTTACAGGTTGTTTTACGCTAGTTTTATAAAGTAACGTCGACATTATGGAGCGCCAAGGAGTCAAGGACCCAAAAGATGTTTCCAGTAGCATTGCTCCTTTACAGAATTGGTAATCAAAGGTCTACTAATCGGTTCAGTCACTGGGTAATGGCCCCCACCACCGACCAGAACTGCAGTCAGCACAAATTAGCGAACGAGAGCTGCGAACAAGAACCATCAATAATGTTTCCTTTCCATTTCGTACGAGTAGTCGTGGGCCAACGTTGGGAAAGTGATCGGCATTACCTTGGAACACAGCCTCACGGGACAGTGTAGTACAAAAATGATAATGACCTCTAGTTAGGTCGCGGTCATCGACGACCAACAACCAAATTCAGCTGAGATACACACCTAATTAAATTAGTGTTGTCTTGATGTCCGTAATGCATGACATTCATATAACGCATGGACACCACTAACATGACCTTGCCCCCCCCCCCCCGGAATGGTCTGGTGAAGACCGGAGTCACTGACCTGAGCTGGAGTCTGACGATGAGCCGAGTCCCTCGTGTGCCGGTCTCTGGTCGGAGCGGGACGCCAATACCACCTCCCGCGGCACTGAGCACTGGCCCACTGCCGCCACCGACTCGCCCTCCGCCTGCCGCCGCCCGCCGCCACCGCCTCGCCGCCACCGCCCCGCCGCCCGGAGTGACGTCATACATGGACCGGTGATGTCAGAGACCTCACCTGGCCCGCAGGCCGGACGGCAGCCGCCCCCCCCCCCCACCACCCCCGCCCCCGCCCCCGCTACTGTTCTTCCAGGGTGACGTCAGCCTGGACAGGCAGACTGGACGGCAGCCTGAACTATGCACCTGCATTGTGCATTGTGCATTTGCAACGTGCATTGTGCAGTGTATACCTATGCTACCGCTCAATACCATGGTTTTTGGTCAGCCTGCCATCGCCATAGAATGCTGGTGGTTAATGTTCCCAGGGGGATTCGGACGCTGCCGGCAAGAATGCAATTGCATTGCATCCCAAAATAGCTTTAAGCATTGTTGTCTATCAAAACAGCATGCACAGTATACAAGTGCATAGGTAGTTGAGGAGCTATAAATACCACCATGCTTAGGCTGATACTCATATTTACATATTTTTTAAAGCATGGATCTTTGGTACAGTTCGGCTAATGTAATATAAATATATTTTATTTTATTAGCCACATATATCTTGCTTCGTTCTCGAGATCTCGGGGGGGGGGGGGGTTATCCGCCCCCCCCCCCCCCGTCGGTTCTATGTTGGCGCAGACCCCCGTCGGTGCGCGGGTTAAAAAATGTAATTGACCTTTTCATATGAGTCAATTATTTAAATAAAACTCGATATTCTTGTTTTGTGTCGAAGAGATCGTTATCTGTGTACTTACGTATATGGGTTTCGCTGAAAACGATTATAATAAAGTATGTACTTATCCACTACACTAGAATTCATAAGCCAACAGTCACTACATGTATATGACGGTAGCAAAGTTGCCTTGGCGAAGCACTCAGCTCGGTATGTGAGTGACCTGTGACCTCTGAGGTCATCCTGCGAGTCCCTATATACCGCGGGACGCAAGGTGACGAAGATGTTGGTGGATGTCATCGTCTCATACCAAAGCGAAATCCCCTGTGACTGTTGGCGATACAGTGGCACAGTGTCAGCACCGATGACTCGTTCAGCTCTAGTCAGCACGCACTGAAGGGATTTTACAGAGCTCCTGACACAACGTCACCGGGTACAACGTTCAGCGTGCTCGACCTGCGCTGTTCTGCTCTGCCGTGTCGAAACCTGACCCGTTTCGACCTGTCCGGACCTCACCAGTTGTCAGCAAGTCGTCCCTCTCCTCAGCAGACGCGCTTCCCTCTCCCCGCCCCTCCCTGAGCTCTCTCACGGAATGGCTTACGTCACCACTAGGCGCCGCTGCCGCCCCCGATGATCGGAACTCCACCTCCACCTCCGGCTGCCCCGCCCCTACCCCCAGTTTCCAGCACCGACGTCCTCTTTTCCGGAACACCCTCAGCGTCAGAGGACCGTCTGGCGCGGGGCTGCGTTAGTCAGTGGTGTTGGCGGTGTTTATACACGCTGCAGGCTGACCACTGCACCGTGACCAGTGACCACCCATGTTAGGAGCGTCAGCGCGGGGATTGAAAAGGGACTGGGAGATTCTCGAAGCACATTCTAAATATAGCCCACCTTGGCACTGAAGTGAAACCGATTAAGCTTTAGCGTTCTGTCACATTTCGTTTTCTTTTTTTCTTTTTAATTTTGCACTTATCGCATTGACGGATCCACGAGACATTTGAGGAGAATGCTCCTCACCTCAGCGCCCGAAATCGATGAAAATTTGCCGTTTTTTAAGAAAGAAAGACCAGAAAATCTTGTTTTGAGCTACACAGCAGTGCTGATCTTAGCTGCTGCTGAGCAACCTGCTGCTGAGGCCTGAGCAATATTTGCTATGTCACCTATGGCCGATGCTTCACTTTTGCATTGTTGACCTTGCGTGACGTATAATCTATGACGCCACTTGGGTCATAAGAGTTTTTCGTCAATAACTCCCGATCCAATTGAGCTAGCGAGTCGGGAAAGCCACCAATGGGCTCAAGAAAACCTGCCGAATCGAATGATATGCGACATGACCTCATTTAACCCTCGCATGTGTGCGGCGTTTGCCAGCTTCTAATGTTTAGGGGGGGGGGGGTCGGTTGGACCCCCTCCTTGCCGTTTGGCCCCTGATCGAGCTAGAGCTTCGCGGAAAAAACGAGCGTGTTGCCCGTGACGAGAGGAAGCCGATGATACCCAGTTTTAAGGTCCTAGGTCATTGGTTGACCTTCCAGGTCAGGTCAATGACCCAAAGTCGGGAAAATCGGGACCTGTTAGAAAGTCGTAAAGTGTGGCTGTTAAGGGGTTTTTCGGGGTGCTGATCACGAATATCGTGTTAGTGTTGATCACAGATGATGTCTTTAAGCATTTAGACCAGGTCGGGTGAGGTCAGGTCAGGTCAACCAGTAGGCGTCGTGACGGGTATTCGTAGTACGTGTCAACCGCCTCTGACAGCTTCGTAACATGTTACGAAGTAACCAAAACTACTTCGAAAATGTTCAAATGGTTGCTAAATTTGAATTCAGCTCCAAAACACTAGCCTAGAAACATGTAGAACTTGAAAAAGTGAACCGAGGTCACCCGAGGTCACCAAAGGTCAATGACCTGACCTGACCTTCAGGTGACCTTGACACCTACTCTAATGTATGGGAGCAACATCAAATCACATGTTTGAACGTTTGAAACCACGAAAAGCTTGCAAACGCGCGGCTAATGCGAGCCGACATACGCGAAATCGCGATTCCGGCCAAACATGGTCTCGGAAAAGAGGTCACAGGTCAAAGGTCATTCGGGTCAGGGTCATGAAATTTTCAGGGTAGGTGTAAAATTGATCAATGCGAGGGTACTGGAAGTTTCGTCGCGATCGGCCGCGTTTTACGCGTGTTATTCGCGAAAAACCATGGGGGGATCCATCCGACCCCCCCCTACACATGCGAGAGTTAACTAGCTTGGTGACCTGGATGGTGCTGACCTGACCTTGTCCCGACATTTTGACCATGTACCGGTTTTTGTGACCTTGTGACCTGACCTGAGGGCACTGAAACACAAAACTCCGAGGTCACATGTCAAAGGGCTGCCCCAATTTGTGCCTGAAATTTGGTGGCGTTAAAGGGACCCTCCCACCTTAACATTAGATTTGAGTTGAGATAGCCAAAATAGGGTCCCTGGCTCACAATTACCGGTTTCGGCACTCACAACATCGAGAAGTGCCTTAACCCGGCACCGCCTGGGCTATTTCCGTACCCACATCAGCCTGGGGGGTCGGATCCGACCCCCCCCCCCTGTTATCTCGAGAACCAATGGTCGTATCGAGCCCCGCGAGGCGGCGTTCGAAAGGTCTCTACGAGACCTTCCCAAAGCACTCTTAAGATTTTAAGATTGAGGTCAACTTTCGGGTCAAGGTCAGGTCAAAGGTCAAATTCAGGGGTTTTGCATGATTAGGCTTACGGACAGCGGAATCGATAGCTGCTGCTCGAAACTCACCACAAATGACCTCAAAGACCTAGTGAAGGTACCATGTGCGTATAGGGGTCATACTAAGTACGGGTCAAGGTCAGGTCAGGTCACGAAAGGTCACGGTTTTCACTTTCTGCTACATGGGCGTGCGACACATGTTTTATGGCTTATTTTTCACGCCAAATCCGATGGTAATGGTTATATGTGACCCCAAGTCACTGTGCTGGTGATAAGTGTGCATTGAAAGCATAAAAAATCGTTTATACCATACATAACTAAACGAGGGCTAAGAAAAAAAGTCAATTTTTCAACTTTTATTTTTGACATAAAAATGCACTTTTCTAGACGAGCTTTGTCCCAGGAATCTAGTGGTGCCATTTGTTTTCACATGCGATGTTCAGAAGTGCCTCTAATTCGCGAAAATGCTTATGACGTCACCATGCCCTATGCATGTTGGAGCTATTTTTTACAATTTGGGGGTCAAAAATCAAGATAGAAAGTTGAAATTTGGGACATCTAATGTTCTAATAGAGCTCTATAACATATATTCCGGTTTTTTGTAAATTCTTAAAATTTTGGATTTTATTAGCTGTTTTCCAAAACATTTAGTTTTTGGAATTTTTAGGGGTGAAAAACGCATTTTATGGAAAATCCGAGATAGCCATTTTAAAGAACTCGTTGAGCTGCGTCTTTTCATTTCCTTAATTTGCAATTTGCTTGAAACCTCGATTTTTGGCGATTTTTTAAACATTTACCATTTTTTGACTGAAAACGCCATGTAGGTACATCACTAAAATCGATATATCTAAGAAATTTTTGAAAAATTTTTCTTAAAAATTGCACAGGAGACGTCAAATTGATGGAGGAGAAGGTACGCAAAGTTTCAAGTTGATAGCTCAAGCGGTTCATGAGTTATTCAAGAAAAACGGAGGGGGGGTCGGATCCGACCCCCCCCCCCGGCGGTCGCGGGTTAAATCGGAAATATTGAATTTCAAAATTGCAGCATTTTGATTCAGAGGGGCTAATGGATAGGAATACCCCTCTGAATGTGTGACGTCAGCGCAGATATCTAACGATTTTTAAATGTTTGACTAAAACGTTTTGTAGCACGCGGTGGTATATGCTGCGTTGCGCGCAACAAATGCCGCACTTTTAAATAAAGTCGCTAGGAACAGCGGAGATCCCAAAAAGTAAACAAAAGTATAAGTCTAATATCTTGAAAACCGGTGAATATTTTTCGATGAAATTTGGTAGATATTCGTTATCGCTCTTTCTGAACCGAGCGACATCACTTTCATGCCAATTCATAAACTTTTTTGAAGGTGGGAGCCGGGAGGGTCCCTTTAACCCTCGCCCGCACATGCCATTTTCCCATCCTAGAACGCACATGGGGGGGGGGTTGCCACCCCCCCGCGCCATTTCGTTCCTGTTGGAGATAGAGCTTAGCAGTAAAGACCAAAAAGATTCTTTGGGAAGAGACGAATCCAATGATACCCAGTTTTACCTTCTCAGGTCAGTCATTGACTTTCCAGGTCAGGTCAAACTAAAAAA